CCATCCGGGCATGCCACGTCAGCGGTTTGGTGGTGGTCCCGTTTGTTGGGCGCCACCGCCTCATCGGCATCGGTGGGTGGGCTGTCGTGGTGGTGTGTGGTGGTGGTGGGGTTGTTGTCCCTCGTTGTAGGGTCGTGGGCGTTCGTCGTCGAGAAAATCGCCGTCGACGCGGCACACCCGGATGGGGCGTGCCACGTCAGCCATTTGGTGGTGGCGCCGTTCGCTGGGCACCACCACCGTTGTTGTTGTTGTTGTTGATGTCGATGGGGTTGTGGGCGTTGATGCGGTCGTCATCGTCGTCGTCGTGGGTGAGGTGGTGGTGGGTGGTGATGAAAGAGAGAGGTGACGTGACGTGTCACATATGAGAACCATCATCAACGCTTTTATTGGGACTATCTCAGTGTTCTGGGATTGCGTTCTAACTGTATTCAAAGACAGAATATACAGGATCTCAGAACTCCATATTTTGATAGATTTTCATGTAGCCATGGAGTCACATGCATCAACTTTGTCAGCTCACAGTGCCAAGCAATGTTAGGGCATCAAGCCCAATATTTTGTCTGCTCCCTTGTGATCTGCTCTTGTTTTACCTGCTTGACGCACTCACTGAAGATGCCTGTTTACTGCTGACCTCTTCTTGCTCTCAAAGGTCTAATGGCAGTGTTTCCCCCTTATGACATTGAACAATACATGGAGTGTCTTGGCCCAATTGTCAATGGTGTCATGACCAGTCGGTGCGGAGAGATAATCCCAAGGATCATTAACTGTACAGGCGCCAATCAGGGCAAATGATGCCAGTGAGCAGGAATCTTTGTTCCATATGCATATAAAATGGTCTTGACAAGATTTCTACTGCAATGTTTGCTCGTACTTCGCCTGGCTACCCTTTGAAAACAGGAGTTATCCCTTGCCAGGTTCACAGCAGTCTAGGAATGATACCCCTCAATGTCAGCAAGCTTTCTTGCCCTCACCAAATGGAGGCAATATGGGCTTTGGAAACCTTGATTCAATTGACCCCAGTCTTCGCAGTTTCCAACATTCTCCGATGTCTGAACACTTGGCTCTAGTGCTTGAAAGTCCAGTTCAGTCCAGTCTTTTTGCCCAAAATGAAAAGACCAAGATGAAGACTGGTCCACACAATTCCTAAAACCTCAAAAGACCAGAGCAGGACCAGAAAAAACAAAGACTGTGGTCTTTTTTGGTCTTTGGACTGGTCTTGGTCCAAACTGGTTACAACCAGTTCAAGACTGGTTTTTCAACTGAATATGCAATAAAATTTGCAATCATGAGTCAGTAGGTTTATTTACATTTTTTGTAGCTTCTAAACGAGTGCAAGAATGCTAAATTATGTTGAGAATTGATGTATATACAAAAATACTAAGGTACATCTCCTATCTTCACGAAATATTTTACAGTTTTGTATGTATCTTTATCAGTTTTTATCCTAAAAATATGATCTTAGGTGCATTTTGAAGGGTTATTATGTAGGTACAAAAGAACGGTCTTAACCGACAAGACCGGTCCATGTTAACTGGTTTTTTTGCAGTCTTGTGATCTCAAATCTGAAAGACCAAGACTGCAGGTCCAGTCTTTTGCAGTCTTGGTCTGGTCCAGTTGTGGTCTTTTTGCAGTCTTGAGACTGGACTTCCAAGCACTACTCAGCTCAACCTGTAGGCTCTCTCATTGGACTTTCAAAGGAGAAGAAAGCTTGTGCCAGCACACCATGCACACACCAAGCTACTGCATCATGTTCAAAAGTGATGTGCAAGGCCTGTTGCATTAGGGACGTCACAAGCATCTGTTTCAATAAGGCTCACAATGGGGGTCATCGCCCAGTTTCCACATTGACTGATCCTTTTCATCTCATGAGGCCTATACAAGGTCTTTACCCCCATGTAATCCATGTGGATTCCAGTGGAGTCCAGTGGATTCCAGTGGCCCAGTTGCTAGGCCAGATTGGCTTGCACAATGCCCAGTCCACTGGCCTCAAGTCCAGTCCAGTCCAGTCCAGTCCACTGGACTCTCACTGGACTACAAGCCACTTTCCTGAGTCCACTATGAGTCCAGTCATAGTCCACTGGATTCCACTGGAGTCCAGTGCATTCCAGTGATTCCAGTGCATTATTGCTTATTACTTATTATTATTAATTATGAATACTGCAAAAAAGCGAAAATAGACTATGCAATGAACCAGCCAGACTTGTAATGTTATTGATCAAATACAAATGTGAATAGAAGGGTAATTATTTATATATTAGTATAGGTAAGTGATAGCTGCAATAAGGATTCATGATTTTGTTCAGTCTGTGGGAGTGAAGTCATGTGACTTACTTGAGGGTGTGCCATATTGTCATGTCTCCTGTTTGTGGCATGGTCACACTTCTGTGACCATCCCTTTCCCTTCCACCACCACCACCCATTCACCACTTCCCTCTCGACACCCCTCACTGCCCTCTCAATGCCAATGCCGCCCATGCCCATGCCAACAATGCCCACACCCACACCAATGCGGAACGACAGGCCAAGGACAAGGAAGAGCACCCATGATGTTGCCACGTCATGGGCCAATGGTACACCACCAACACAAAGACAACCACAATGGACAATGACCCACACACGACAACGACAAATGAGCACCCATGAAAAACAATGAGTGCCAAGAGTGCCCACCTCCACCACACCCGAAAACAACACACGATGGATGACGACATGCAACAGACGATGACATGCAATGGACGATGACACATGACAGATGACAATGACATGACATGACAACATGTCAACAATGTGTGCCAACAAGGATGACAGTGATGCGGCAAGGACAACAACACATGAGAACAATGACATGACACAATGATGTGTCAACAGCGACATGAGCGGAGGGTGACGAGGACTTGGCACCACCACTCCCTCCCACTTTATCAGTCCATTCCATTCACCCTCTATCAGACCCCCTTCCTTTCCCTTCTTGAACACCACCTCCCCACTCCCTCCCCTCTGTAACATAGAATGTAGTAAAATTAATTTATATAGTTATTAAATATACTTCAATTTTCTTTTTTTTTTGAAATCTACGTGTCTTCAAGCTTAAGGTCTGGCAGTCCAGTCCAGTCCAGTTTTGTGTTGGGAGTCCAGTGGAGTCCGTGTGGATTGCATGGGGGATGGTAAAGTATTGGGCCTATACTGTCAATCCATCTGCACCTTCCTGCATTAGCAAATATTTCAGGCACCTCTCTTTCTTCCTCTTCCCAACACCTGTCACTGTTTCTGGCTCTCCAAACACTTCTGCTTTGTTGTCACCTAGTTCTGGGGAAACAGAAAGTATCTGTGGACCAAATAAAACATGCCTAAATGTACATTTGATCAATTCAAAGCCTTAACAGGACAAAAATAAGAAGTGGGATGCACCAAAATTGCCATGCAACTGATCAGTCTGGCTGTTGTCCCAGACTTACGGGAGGCATAAGGGCTGTTCGACCAAAATACTGGAAGGACGCTACCAAGTGCTACAGTTGGACCATAAATGATCAAGAGAGCTAACTAATGACCAGAAATAGTGAGAACAAGCACAAATCTGAGTTCGGAAATATGAACATACCTTGAGTAAGTACTTGCTTCGAAACAAACATGTCTGATTGGCAACACTTCCATCCTGAAAGAAGAATGGCAGTAATTTGGGGTACTGTGCACCAACCGTCATGCCACTTGCATTGTAGCCAAGGAAATTCTTGATGGTCGGATTGCCTGTGTGATCAAATTTTCATGTGAGACACTCTGCAGAATGACCAAAGATTGATGTGGCATTCTTCCGCAGGTGATCAATCATGCTAGAGCGGCTGGATGAAAGCTCTTTTGTAAACTACAAAAAGTGTCAAAACATATTTTGATTTGAGGAAGTGTGAACTGACCTTAACGCCAAAGTCACTGTGACTTCGCATGTAGTCATGGAGGCGCTCCAGAACACACTCATACAACTCCGCACTAGCACCTAATGTGATGTTGCCCTTAGTTGAGTATCGTTCACTGCTGTTGAAATTGAATGAAGGCTTTGGTTGGTGAAAGTTGTCAGCGTGAACCCATGGTTGATGGAAGAGGAGATAGATCTGGGCAAGCTTGGCGATCTGTTGATCCGCTGCCAAGAGTTCTTCCAGTACATCCAATTTGGATCCTTTATGGCTCTTCTTGACCTTTGCATTTGCAAGCTCCAGTCTGAGCATGTCAATGATGTGGTTCGCATCGTCAAGTTCTTTGTATGCATTTTGCAGAGCCTATTAGTAATTGTACAATCAGTATTGAAATAATGAATAGATTAATAGATTAGTAGTCACAAACCTCCTCGAGTTCTCTGATGCTCATGTAGCTTATTCCGCGTTCACATTCAAATCGCGAAGTGGGAACAGAGGACATTCCAGAAGAGGTAGCACTCACAGAAGGCATTTTGCAATAGAGAAACTTAAGGAGATGGACTTGAGGGGTCTGCGACGCATATTCACCTTGCCTGCATGGTTTTTATTGAGAAAGCTTCTACAGGGTGTGCACAGCCCAGTGCACAATGAGTTCAAAAGTTGGGCCTGCATGCCAAAGATTGATTCTTGACATTGAGTAATTGGCCTCAGGGAACCTGAACCTCAAGTACTTTTATCAATGAATGCAGTTTGTACCGCACAACTCAGATTCATGTGTTTCATTTGCACCCATGAAGATATCCATTTCACAAGGAGAGCATGGCTGCATTCCTGTTCTGCCTTGCAAATCTCAATTGCTCTGCCTGCTTCTGTCCTATCCGATTTGCAATGCCTTGACTTGTAACATTATTTACCATTACAATATTTACTGTTACAATATACTAATACTATGGTACACTTAGGCTCTCTCAGGAGTGGACATGATAAGATATCTCTCTAATGTTTGAATTACCTTTAAGTTTGTACATATTTTTATGTAATAATGATCCTGCTCATTGACAACTTCAGCCTCACATTTCAGGCAGCAGAAATCTTGAGATGATTACATATTGAGTAAGGAGGGCATGATATCATTGAAAGGATGTTCCGTGCAACTTGAGGACAATGACATCATCTGAGTTTGATGATTGTATTCTATGATGTCATCATGGTTGAGCACCCTGTATTTTGGGGAATTTTGAACGTCATTGCATCATATGTCTCACTTATTGCTGATATCTTTGTAGCTGCTATCAATAGTTTGTCTTTGTAGCTGCTATCAGGTACTAGTTTACCCAAATAGCACACTTCAACAAAGGCCTTAGAAATTCATGTCAGAACTCTATGACAGTTACGGAGGGTGATGGTAGATGTGGAACTCACAATCTTATCATGCTGACCACCGCTGGAGTATCTATTTATATCAAGGCTCACCTCATCAGGTCAGTTAAGGGTTGTTACAGGATCGGTTCGTTCTGCCAAGCTCTGATGATGCTGGTGACCTACATTACAAGCCGGCTGCCTGGCAAGGCACCTGGGAAATTTCTGACATCGGCAAGCCAATCTTTCTGGTCTGACCCATGAGGCACAGTGAGGGTATCTCCTTTCTTTTCATAATGCTCCAAGATAGCAAGGTGACTAATTCCTTCCCAAATGTCCTCAGGGCAAAGCTTGAAGGTGAATACCCATTCCTTCAGCTGATTTTGTGGCTGAGCAAGGGATTGGTTGTAAACAGCTGCACAGTTCGAAGCTGATGTCCTGTTAACTATAAGCCTAATTAACTTTGTATTTGATGATGCATACTACCATGAGATGAGCATCAAATTCATAAACATATTGAGAACATTGCATGAAACGAAGTGATGCTTGCTAATTTCAATGGTGTTAGGGACACCTGGGTAGTAGGTTCTGACTTGCCTGGAAACAGAATAGTTCTTGTAATAGGTCGTTTTACATGATGCTACTCACATGGACAAGAGAGTTTGTAATGAAATGTTGCACAAGTGCCATCCTCAAGGGTGAAAATAATAACCTTGCAACCAGTCTTGTCAATGTTTCGAAGAAGGGCAGTTTTTTTTGGGCATAATGGGTTGGTACATGCTGCCATGGGGGGATACAATGAGTGCAAAGCTAAACTTTAACTATCAGCAATAGAATTTATCAGAGACAACAATGACTAACACAGGCTATACCTCATTCCATGCTCATTGAATGCTTTCACATCTGCAGTTGAGGAGTGCATCCCAGGATTATACTGCCAGATTGTTGTTTTGAATGTGTCCCAACAACCCTGTGCGAAATCATCACAAAGATACAATGCACTTCCTAGAAAGGCATGTATAGTAACTGGAAGTCATTCTGGGGCTTGTTCTTTGTTGTATCCTGGCTTCTGCACATGAAGGATGCTGCACCTTAGGCTCGCTGCTAGTTGAACAAACCTTGTTGCAGTGTCCATTCCAATGGCCTGGGTCAGGCCTGGATATTTCAATAGCTGTTCATATATACATTCCATGTCGAGTGCTGCCATTAAAGTATAGGAATATTGGAGACAGGCTGTTTCAATTGCTCATGAACAGGGTATCAACGTCAGGAGGCCATTTATTGACAACTATTTATTAGCAACACTGGACAGCACATGACTCCATGACTCTATGGACTGCATGGATGGACTTTCAAAATCGTGTATGCTCTCTTTGAAGAAATGACAAGAAAACTGTGCTTTATAGACTTTTGTAACTCCCTTGAGCTTTTATTATGCCTCTGATTTGATCCAAAATAGTCTTAAAGACTCTTCAAGCATGCTCACTTGGATTCCTCAAAAGTAGTAGAGAGCTCTCTTTACTAACTGACAAGACAACTTTACAAAAGCTTAGTGATCCCCACTTAACATGCTGGTTCCAGGAACACTTTACTTATGTCTGCGAAGAAAAGTCCTTTTAATTGATTACAAACTTATCCACTACTGAGGTCTTAGCAGTGCCCCCCCTATTCCTGCAGGAATCCAGTCATTCCTGCAGAATTCCAGTGGATTCCGGTGGAATGAAATTTAGCAGTAAGCCCTGGTAAATTTGTCATTCCTGTGTTTTCTCATTCTGGTGGAATCTGATTATTCTGGAATTTACACTGGAATGTTCCCTGGAATAGTCTTCCCTAGAATAGCCAGGAATGGTGTTCCCCAGAGTGGGCAGGAATAGAAATCCAGTCCAATCTGTTTAATTTGTTTATTTGTTATGTATTATAATTTATTTATTTTCAATGGATAACAAACAATGCTTGTTTGGCAAACACTGCTCACCAAACACAGCCACCCACAAGTATACATAGATGTCACTATAGTACCATAACAATAGAAATTGACAATTCTCCCAATAAGTCATAGGTCTACCCCAATGGGCCCAATATACATGGACACTATGGATCCATACCTGGGACCAATGGATGTTTACAGCATATGGTATTAATGTGTGGCCCAATGCATATTCTGCGGATGTGGTTATTGCCATAATCAATGATACCATAGGTACCCAAAGTATAATCTACAGATGGCCAAATGTTGGGCCACATGCGTTCAAGAGATCACCCAAAGCATTGACATGCTGACTGCAAGTGCTCCAAAAATGGGACTGAAAAAATGTTATGGTATTAGCACTTATACTACCTACTGCACTTATACTACCTACTTACCTTATTTAGAGTAGTATCTTATGTAACAAAAGGAATGTGTGAAGCGTGTTCCAAGAATGCAAAGCATATTTGTTTACCTAAAGTCTGCTATTGTTTGGTTAAATGTACTTGTTTGGCTAAAGCCTGTTGTTTGTTTGACTAAGGCTGGTACACCCAAACAAACAAACATTCTGTGAACCCATAGTCTGGGTAACCATTATTCCCTTACAACTTCCCTTCCATCTCCCACAAATGCCAATAACGGAATGAACAGACATGACTCAAACATCACCCGAAAACTGGTATGCAAGGAGGGAGTATTCAGTTCAAGCATCATAACGATGCTAAAGGAATGCAATGTGAGTCATCAGAGCCACGGAAGAACCATACGGAAAGGGATGGAAGGTTAGAGAAGTCTCTAGCAAGTACTTTAACTCAAGATATATAATCTTGCCGATCAATTGTAGTAGATACCTCTTTTCAATCCAATTGATTCAAACCTTACATTTGCATGCACATAAGAACTAAGGAAGACATTTGTACAAGTCGTATAAATAATTCCTAAGATCACTAATTGAACAGGTTGTTCTATTAGCGATTAAGTATTCTAAGAACCTTCAGGCTTCCTGAACATTTACGGAATACCATGTTATTATGCACGTAGGTTACTAGGAGTTACCAATTGGTCATAAAGAACTTAAAACCTTACTCAATGTAAATGCTAAAACTACGAATTACATTTGTGAACTTCAACAGCTATCACATCTATGTACCGCAATATTGCAAATCCATTTTTTCTTGATGCATAGCATGCAAATACAAGTCATATTGAGTGTGCTGTTAGAGTGCAAGGCTCTATGTTGGTGTATTCCGATGATTACAAACACTAGTAAATAATACTAAAGTCATCATACGCAGAGTCAGAAATGTATTGTTAGTCAAATGTGAGAATGGGGTTTCCTAGAAATGTAAGAGTCTTAACTGTAGCATTGATTGTGTTACTTGATGACCTGGATTGTTAGTGCGTAGCTTTAATGATTGGTTGAGGTAATTGATAGTGTGAAGCCTTATCAATTCACTCAAGGAACACTTAGTTCAAAGAACTGTCAAAGTTGGGGTTAAGATGTAAAATGCCTTACTTCTTGTATTTCACACTACTTAAGTACAGAAATATTACTATGTAGAAGTTCCTAGATCCTTCTTATTTCTACTACAAAGTTCCTTGCTGCTGCTTACAAACATTACCCTGTCCAGGAATGTTTGGCTAGACTTGTGATCCAAATAATAGCTTGTATTCCAAACAATGGCTTGTAATCCAAACAAGTGCATAGTGCGTAAACATAGTCATGTTTGTGTATTTGTTGACACATCGAGTACAGGAGCTACAGAATACAACTATTCAACTAACAGTAGACAGAATACAACTAGCAAGTACTAGTTGGGTAATACAAAGATGAAATATGGAGTGTTTGATATGAGAGGAGTGAGAACCAGAGGATAAGTACAGATGGTACCCTAACATGTGCCTACAAATGCACTAAGTAGATTCATAACAGAATACAACTATTTAAGCAATAGTAAGTTGATACAACTAGATGAAGACCAGTCAGATAGTACAAGTAGAGAAATATTGTGAAATGGCAAGTATGTGGTAGTAAATGCCTAGTACCACTTCAGTCACCCAGTGCCAACTGACTATTAGTCATGCAAACTCCACGTAAGTTATCATGACTAAATGTCATGGACCACATTTATATTCTATATATATTTGGGTCCTAGAAAGCCCTGAAATCCAAAATATATTCTTGACACATGGACCCTGAAATGTCACACAAAATTATAATGTCTGTGTCACACCACCAAAATATATTTTGCAAGTGAAATGCAGTAAGGATATATTTTTGGTGAGTGGACCCTGAAATGTCACTGTCACACCTTAGAAATATATTTTTGCCCTGGCTTGGCCTTAGGATATATTTTGTGAAACAGATGTGGTAAGGATATATTTTTCTGGTCTGTAGGGGTGTCAGGTGTCCTAGTTTCAGCAAAAAACTTGTGATTTTTTTGCTGTCTGGGGTATATATTCTGGAAGATTCTGCAATGACTTCCAGAGGTTTTGGCACTATGTCTGGCTTGTGCTCCCAATATGTAGGTAACAATAAGGGGCATTAATAGCATCTGTGATCTACCTTCAAGCTATTCACTCCAAGGTTCCTGAATTGCTTAAGTATGGATACAGTTTGAATACTTTGTTGCTGGAAGACACCTAAAATTACCCTCCAGACAGCACTCAGCTAATTCGCCACACCCCCTTCCACAACATCCAATGCTGATCTGCCTGGCAAATCGACATCCCATCTTGAAGGTTCAACTTTTGCTTCTTTCGGAAGAGGGTGATACTCTCTTGTCAACTTATTATTGACTTCCTCCTCAGGTGGGAACATGGTGGTGTCATATGAGTGCTTCTTCATCAACAAGTTTGGAAACATCTGAAACCATCCTCCAGACAGCACTGTGCTGTGACCTTGAAGCTATTTCACCACATCCCCTTCCATCACATCCAATGCTAATGTGTCTGGCAAATTGACATATCATCTCGGAGGTTCAACTTCTGGTTGTTTCAAAAAGGATGACACTCTCTTGTTGACTTGTGATTGACTTCTTACATAGCAGTGTCATATGGCTTCTTTGTCAACATGTTTAGAAATGTCTGAAACTGTTGTCAAGACCACACCATGCTGCTACCTTGAAGATATTCCACCACACCGCCTTCCATGAGATCCAATGCTAATGTGTCTGGCAAATTGTCTGAATGCTTCTTCATCAACATGTTCAGAAACATCTGAAACTACCCTGAAGCTATTTTGCCACACCTCTTTCCATAGCATCCAATGTTGATGTGTCTGGCAAATCGACCTCCCATCTCAAACAACTCCATTGCTCTAGTTTGGTGAGAGGAACACCCAGCTTTCCTCCAAACACTGCAACAACTAACTTGTATCACTGCAATCTAGCAAAAAATATGTTCACAAAATATATTTTCTAAATATATCTTCACAACATATAATCTCACCCCTTTCCAGAATATACATTCAGAGAATAGTACCAAGATTCTAAACTTGCTTACAGCTACCTGCATAATCATAGACCATATCTGAATTGCACTCTTATTTGTACATAAATATATGTTTTAGATAGAGTGACTGCTCCACCCTTATGACATTTGGGGCAGGCTTGGAGCATTTGAACAGATACATCCCCTCTTCATACCTCACAACAACATGCTGAGCAACTACCACTATATCCAACCAGAGCAAAAGCAGCTTCATGTTACAGAGGGCACTAAGCGATGCTAGAACATGGAGCAATGTGCAGCGTGTGTGAATGCTGCTCAGAGTTTCGCAAAGTACTTATAAAAATAGATGATTTTTAATTTTAGAGTACATATTTCCCAACCATATCCTGAATATATCAATGTTATCCTAAACCAAGACATATTTATCAACTATATTCAACTATATCCTGAACCAAAATATATTCATCAACTTTATCCTCAATGATATTCTATATTTATCAACTACATTCTGGACCAACATATATTTTCAAACTATATCCTGAACATTTTTAAACTATATTCTGGTCCAGGATATATTACCAGGATATCTTATATATATATATTTTTGTACTATATCCTGAATCAAGGTATATACAGCACAAATATATTTAGTATGTGTATCTGTAAATTTCCCCAGACCAAGGTGCAATTTATTGAATACAACTACATAGACTTACATTACTACATTGACTATTAAATAAAGAAATATAGAGAAAGGGAGTGAGGGGGGATGGGGTTATAGGCAATGAGGGAGGGGGAAGGGGGTGGCAGGCAATGAGAGGGAGGGGGAGTGCTGAGAAGTGAGGGAGAGGGAGAGGGGGAGGGAGTGAAGGAAGTGAAGGAAATGCGGAGGGAATGGGGGAGGGAGTGGTGTGCACTGAGGGAGTGAGGGAGAGGGGGAGGGGGAGGGAGTAAGGTAATGGGAGAGGGAGTCAGGGAATGGGGGAGGGGGGAGGGAGTGAGGGAGGGAATGGGGGAGGGAGTGAGGGAGGGAATGGGGAAGGGAGTGAGGGAAAGGGGGAGGGAGTGAAGGAATTGGGAGGAAATGGGGGAGGAAATGGGGGAGGAAGTGGGGGAGGGAATGGGGGAGAGAGGGAAAGAATGGGGGACGGAGTGAAGGAATGAGGGAGGGAGTCAGAAGGCAGTTGTCGCCGTTTGTAGGTGGTGTTGGTGGGCACTCATGTTCGTTCGTGGGGGTGGGCGCCCAGCATGTCTTCAAGGTGGTGGGCGCTCGGCGTGTCTTTGTTGTCGTCCGTCCGTCGTTTGTTGGCCCGTCGTCGTTCTTCCATTGTTGCACGCGGTCGGCGGGCGGCATGCCCTTCCCTTTGGGGAGGGGTGACGTGGGAGGTGCTAGTCGTCGACCGCCCACTGGTGGAGTGGGCGGTCGACGGTGGTGGTCCTGTGTGAGTTATATGGGTGGTGGAAGGGGCAGTGGGCTGCTTACCGTACTGGAGGTAAAACGACGATGATGACAATGTCATCGTCGTCGTCCCTCGTCTCCCTTCGTGTCCAACGTAGAATGACGACGACGATGTAACTCATCG